ATATATAGGGCTAGGTTATAATATGGATGGACAACTATTATACGGACGTGTGGATAATGTTATTGTATGAGAATTACTAACATAGTTGTTGAGTAATGTGAATACGTTCAATATCACAGAACTATTGTTATTTTAAAGGATTCTCATTAATTTTAATTCATTTTTGTTCCCGCAAATTGTTTTTCACATATTTTCATTCTTACTGAATACGACTCAATAAACATCCTGATAACATTCTGACAGAATGAGAATAATTAAAAAAAATCTATAATAACCTTGTAGACGATTTAATTAGTGAAAATGCGTAATAATTATAATAATTATATAAGATTGTATGTATTCATATTATCAAACAACATATTTTCTTTGTCATTATCACATAATATCATTGTCCGCACGTCCGCACAATAGATGTCAATCCACATTTGAAATATCGTTACCAAAGTGGTTAATGATCAATGAAGCTTTACCTCTTCCCATATTATATGAAATATCTGTGAACTCGACATAGTCTACATCACATTTTATTTGTTGGATACCAAGGGAGACAATAATACATTTTTACAAATCGCTCACCTAATAAACGTTCAAGAAAAGTGAAACAGTCAGTATCATTCATACCAGCAAAATCGTGGTCAGTAAATACGAATTTCATGCCTTCAACATACTTAAATGAACATCGAATAAAATACCCGTAAAAGTGTAGCTCAACCATCATATAAGGATGCCCTTGATCATTGTCCATCATATAAGATAACTGGATTTTTTTTCTTTACACAAAGTAGTAAGTGAATATATTAGAAAGAGGTTAAGTGATTTTTTTTTTTTTTTTTTTTTTTGCTTCAGATCGAACCACAGATCATCATCAATGTGTATAAATGAAGAGTACTAATAAAATGGTGATATTCTTTTTTTAACTCATTATTTGAAAGTTTAAGGATCCATAACACTAAAAAATAATAATAATAATGACCATTTATATAATTTTTTTACCATCTATATAATTTTTTTAACAAAAATGAAATGTTTTTAAGGAAACAATTTGAAAAATACTATCATCAATGAAAATAATTGTGCAATTTTTTTTTATAAATTACACCTTGTTTTTTTATATTTATTTAAAAAGTGATCATGTGATCATCTACACAATAGTTCTGTGATTATATTTATTCATTTCTAAAAGAAAAGAAAGTAAACGGTCAAAATTTAAATCGGCGGAGATAGATCTTGACGTTCAATCATACACATACAGACATACAGTAGGTCGTCCGTAGTCCTGTTCATATAAATCCAGTTATTCGATCCTGCATTTAATGTACTGGATCCGCTAAATCAACCAACATTCGATCCCGATTCCCCCCAAAACTTGTTCTTGCTTGATTATCATTGATTTCAATATTCTTATTGTTCAGGAGAGTGCAAAGTGTAAGAAATGGATAACAACAGCCCTCCATACCACAAGGAGGGCTCGCCATTGCCAACTACGATATCCAAAACGGAAAAACAACGTTCCAGATCATCATCAAGATCTTCAGTACCTTCAATCTTTTTCGCCTTCTTCTCTTGTCTCGCTTGGCTTTACATCGCCGGCAGGTATCTAATTCTCTATGTGCATTTGTGCTTCATTTAGTATCTTTTTGATATTTTGATTACTATGAATTTGGAAATCTTGCTTACCATGAACTCACAATCTGTAAGTGTTAGATCGAAATCCGACTATATCTGGACTGATAATTTGCAAATCTCACTCACTATGAACTTACATAGTTTCAAAAAAAATAAAAGTTTTAGGGTTTTTATTTGATGTGATCATGTCATTTGTACTTCCTATTTTACGACTACTATGTTGGTGGATATTACTCAAATTAGATCATTTCTGGATTCGTTGTATGAATTTTGTGAAATACAATTGAAAAATAGTCATGCTAATTGTGAACCTAAAAGACGTGCTATATTCATTTGATCTTACTAGGTTATGGCAGGATGCTGAGAACAGAAAGGTGTTGTCTCATCTGCTTATGAAGAATTCCGCAGAGGTTTTGCTTTGAATCTAAAATTGCTTAATTGCTTTATATATTATATGGTCCATTACAAATGGATTTCTTCTATTAACTTTTTTGTTGTGTTTGATATCAGAGACCAAAAGTTCTTACAGTTGAAGAGAAGCTCATGGTCCTAGGATGCAAGTAAACTTTTGGGTCTTTCTAGTCTCTCTTTCAAGCCATTCCCCCTCTTTTTGTATTATATTTATAATCTCTAGAGTTGCTTCTTGACATGTTATTTATCTTTCTGTTATGGATATCTGCTCTCAGGGACTTAGAGAGAAGAATTGTGGAATCTGAGATGGAAATATCACTAGCAAAAAGTCAAGGTTTCCTCAAGGATCAACTGAAACAACCTGGTTTCTCTTCCAGCAAAAAACTTCTTGCAGTTATTGGTGTTTATACTGGATTTGGGAGTCGATTAAATAGAAAAGTTTTCAGAGGTTCTTGGATGCCAACAGGTATTAATAATTGAAATATGTTCTACTTATTGGTTTGTTTGCATATCTTTATCACTGATCTTTTTGTGAGAAGGAAAATAAGAATAATATGCTAAACCAGTTGAGTTCTACAGGTGATTCTTTGAAGAAGCTTGAAGAAAGAGGAATTGTCATACGTTTTGTCATTGGTCGGAGGTTTGTTTCTGGCCTTAATTTTGTTTTTCTTTTAAATTTCTTAAGTAGGAGCAACGACTTATAAAAAACACAGACATACAAAAAGAAACTAGGACCTATACTATTCCACTACCCTGATTATATAATAAGTTAATAACCACTAAATCGGCTAAAAGCCTATGTATATTTGTCATTTTGGTAACTAACCCAAATTAAGCAACCCTTGAAATTTCAGCCCTAATCGAGGTGACAGCTTGGATCGCAACATTGATGAGGAAAATCGTACAACAAAAGATTTCTTGATTCTTGTAAGTTAGTAGGTTTCTATCTTGAAGCTAATATAGTTTCATAAATGATACTTTACAACATTATAACTACCACTTGACTAAATTACCCAAATACCCTTTCTCTTTATGTATATAGATAGCGTCATCTTCTCTTTTGTTTGTTTCTATTCCATAACACACGATTTGACTTTTGAAATGTTTGATTCTTAGGATAATCATGAGGAAGCAGATGAAGAATCATCAAAGAAAGCAAAGTTCTTCTTTAGCACAGCAGTTCAAAATTGGGATGCAGAGTTTTATATAAAAGTGGATAACAATATTGGCCTTGACCTTGGTAAGAAGGTTACTATTTACTTTGTATTTTTAATCATGTGTCTTTATAATGTTTGTTGTATTTATTGAATTAGTTTTATTTTCCTTTTTCAGAGGGGTTAATTGAACTTCTTGAGAGTCGTCATGGTCAAGATAGTGTTTATATTGGATGCATGAAATCAGGTGAAGTGGTTTCTGAAGAGTAAGCTAAACAAACACCCTTTTAACAATGCTCCATGTGTAACATGTATTTGTGCTTATGTATTTAATTTTTTTTATTTATTATTATGTTTATCAATTGTCAGGGGAAAGCCATGGTATGAACCAGATTGGTGGAAGTTTGGTGATGAGAAATCGTAAGTATTTAGTTGTCAAATCCATCAACTTTAATATAATATTACAGTTATGTCCATTCATGTTTATGTAAGCTAATGTGACTAAAAGGGTATTTTTGTCCAGGTATTTTCGCCATGCATCTGGATCTCTTTTGATTATATCAAAAAGATTTGCACAGTACATAAACATAAACAGGTAAGTTGTCCCTTGCAAGATGTAAATGTCTAGGTATAAAGACTAAAATACCCTTCATCTGATTCTTGTGTTTCAGTGCATCTTTGAAGACTTATGCTCATGAGGACACATCAATAGGTTCATGGATGATGGGCATACAAGCAACATATATAGACGAAAACCGTGTTTGTTGCAGTGGTTCTCAACAAGGTAATTCATCTCTTTCATATATCTAATTTAATTATTTGATTAATATTTAATCTTCAAACATATTTATTGATTAAATATATTTGTTCCCAGATAAGGTGTGTTCGTTGGCTTGATTAGACTCTCAAATCATGGAAACAATTGTTTACAGAAACACAAATTAGAAATACCATTTGGTCAAAGTCAAATACATGCAGGAAAAAGTACACTAGGTATATGAACAAACACAATGGAGTAAGGAGTAACATTAATTGGACTTGAGAAGTTTTGTTTTATCGGATCCAATGAAGGTATAATCCCTGATGAATTTACAACCAATTCTTTCCCATTTAGCAATACTATTTGGCTATGCAAATCTCCATTTTTTGCTGTTAGATGATACTCTTCTCTTATAACCTCATCAACTTTAGGATTTCTTCTCATTTTAGAAAACTTTGTTCTTTTTGTTTGCTTCGGTTCTTTTTTTGTTTGTGTGATTATTTTAGTGGTGTTTATAAAAGAAATCCCGACATTTGTTGTTTTAATGCCGTCTAGGTTAATCAATAGTAATGTGATCCCCGTCTGTAAAATTTGAGACTATTTTAAGTTAGTAAAGTAAACAAGAGGTAATTTTTTTTTAAGTCTATTACTTACCGAAGTCTTTGAGCAGTGAGCGTATGAACGTATTTTGTTTGTGCCACTAGAATTTGTTGATAGAACATGTCTTCCCATTAGCCGGTGCCAAAGAAGCGCACTGCATAGTGACGAATAATTTTCTATAAAACTCTTAAATTGTCTGGAAAATTTTTTAAAAAGTTAAAATTGATAAAAGTACATGTAGTAATCAGGATTTGGGACAAATGTAGTAGTGTTGAGAAGTCCATAGTTTCCTCCTATCAATGTTTGTCGACAATATGTTGTCGTATTATATGTAGAAGCCATTCCAAGTTGATCCAAGTACCTTTTTCGATCATGTTAAAAATTCAAAAGTAGCAATTAAAAGAAGTTTTATGAGGACATTTACGTCTTTTGCATAGACGAGAGATGATGCGACAAACAGTTGCATTATGTCCCTTTTGAGTTTGACATCACTGTGTGCACACCGAACGCAGTATAATCTGTTTTGTCGGTTATATATTGTGCAACAAACAAATTGAGTTTTATGAAGAGGACCTACCAAAAGCCAAATACAAAAGCATTTGTGACAAGGTTACGACCGCTATTATAAGCACCACCAGCTTCACCCACCCAAGCAATTGTAGAAGTCCCGGATTTCTTCAAAATGTTTTGAAGATCTCTAAATGGTTGTGATCCTCCATCAAGATACGATGGGTTGAGTATCTTTTCAATCAAATGAGCGTCGACACCTATTTAAACGGATTTGACATGAATATATGTTTGATTATTCGTGTTTTTTTCTATAATTTTTACCTGGACCGAGATTATAAATGTGTTGAGTGATCACTTGGAGGGAACCCGAGGCTTGTGTTACATACGCATTGAACCAATTTGCATCAAAGAATCCTCCGGGGCCAAGAACTATCGGCTTTTCTCGAGATCCATTGTATATCTTTTGCACTAAGTTTTGAAGGGAAATGGTATCCGATGCATATTGTTTTGCTTTGACACTTGTTCCGATTCCACTTCCACTTAGTTCATTTCCTGATCATTTTCATTCGATTCAGATTAAATTATCTTATATACATCTTCATTCTTATGAGATTTGAGTATTGTTATTGTTGTTGTTATAATTTGATTCGGTTGTTAAAATATAAGTCATGAAGCAAGAACCTACCAAGTTCCCAACCATAAATAACATAGCCATTGTTCACGGTGTATCTTATAAGAGCTTCTGCATTGGTCAAGTCCCATGATCCAAACACCGTACCATCATAGCCGATTTGTCGGCCTGTTAGAGCATTTAAACCGAACACAACCTTTGCCCTAAAAAAATTCGAGAAAAGTATCATTACCATAATTATTCAAAATTGAAACTCATGGTTTATAAAATATAGTTACCATATTGATTTGATCAATTTATCTTTGCATAAATCATTACATTAACATTTTAAAAAAATAGAGTTCTTGATTAGAAAAATAACACTTGAAACCCATAGTTTAAACATTAAAAAAAAAAAAAAAAAAAAAAAAGTTACCCAGAATTTTTAAAGAAAATGTTGAGTTGATCCCATCTTGACATGGTCAAGCAACCATTGGTGAAGCCAAACATCAGACTAGTGTTTTTGGTGAAGTTGTCACATGGTCCCTGATCTCCAGTCCTTTGGTACATCACCTTGTCTTGCAAAGTCCCACCCAATCTAACTTTCAAAGGAGAAAAGGCTGCATATCACACATTCACACTCAAAGTATCAAATACAAGATACTTAATTTCAATTTTAAGTTTTTAACTCGTTTATAAATAACCTAGCTGCTCAATCTGAAGATTATGGGTTGAATAACCGGTTACACTGCCAATATAAGAGAGAGGAATCATTATCTAGGTTTTATTGAGTTTTCTTGTACGCACCTTTGATTGCATTAAACAAGATTTTGTTGTTTAGGTCCTGTTGAGAAGATAAAACAATTAAACAATGGCTTATATGAAGATATAAGAAATAAGTACAAAAAAGTTTGACATAGTTGTATATCGTTCATATCCGGGTGTCACAAAGCCAATTAACGACCAATTTACTCCGTTTAGGTTATGTTTATTAAAGGGGGCATGATTGTCGGTGATAAAGATGACGAGGGATTCATGTCTTTTGCACGGACGAGAGAATGATAACAAGTTAGTTTCCCACATTTTTGCAATTGTTGTTTTGTTGTCATCAGTTCTAGTCTAGACTAGATTTGAGACTTGTGAGTTTAGGACTACGATCGGAAGTCACCCATTGTCCTGTCTTTTTTTTTTTTTTTGCAGTTTTTGTCTTATTGACGTAAGTCTAAATTTTAGTCTAGACTCGAATTAGGACTCATGAGTCTACACTAGAACTAAAACTTGAAGTCATTATCCCACCATTTTGCAATTTTTGTCTTATTGACATCGGTTTGAGTTCTAATCTAGACTAGAATTGGGACTTGTGAGTCTAAATTAGAACTAGGACCGATGTGATCAAACAAAAATTGCAGTATACATACACTCACCAGATTGAGAAGAGAAGCATTTCCCCAGCTACAACTTCCATAATCACATTTATCTTGTGGCCACCAATCTAAAGTTGCACATATGAAGTCTTCATCAATGAAACCGATGGAAGTCGTCCCATTTATGTTTACACTCCCCTCGACAACGCTCGAAGTCTCAACACTTGATGAAACAACCATTTTAGAGCTAAAACAAACCACGGGTAACAAAAGTAACAACATATGTAAAATAAGCAATACACTCATCTTAACATAACAACTCTTTAATCTAGTAAAAAATGTTATTAAGTTGAGAAAAAAACAAAACAACCGAATGAATATAGGAACAACAAACTAAAACCACCAATTAATGCATTATAACACTTTTGGTTTGATTTTAATGTTGCAATGATAGTGTGTGGGTGTGGGTGTGTATTTTATGAGATTTGGTGGTGTACATGTTGAAAAACAACCACATTTTATAAGTCAACCGTTGCATGTTGGGTGTCTCTTTCCTGTACATTGATTTGCATACAATATACTAAAATTGTTTGTTAACTGGAGCAATACTTGTGATCTTTTTGCTTTTGAAAATAATGATCATAGAATAATTTTATGAGGATAAATTGATGATTGTATTATTTCAAAAACTATATGATTAGAATTATATGATAGTTTTTTTAGAACAATATAGGATATGTATGAAGTAAATGACATTTCGAACAACATTTGATCATTTCTACATATTCCGACATATTTGACAAATAATGTGTCGAACAATGATGTATTGGGTTCTATCACAAGCATATACTAATCCGCCATTCTAAAAGAAAATAATAATAATAATAATAATAATAATAATAATAATAATAATAATAATAAAAACTTAAAACTACATTTGAAAATTCCCAAGGATGTTAGATAATATCTGATCATCAAAAACACCTAAAACTTTAGCATGTATAAAATATATATCAAAACTACTTGAAGTTGAATACAATTAGTTGTGATTCCAATTTGTTAAAGATAAGGCCAATGAGTGATGAGGTTTCAACTGGTGAGAAGGACCCAAGAATAGTAGGTAACCAAACTATTTTTAAAAAATACAAGTAGCAAATAATTATTTATCATCATGTTATATAAGGAATATTTGATATTTTTATACTAGTTTTAGAAATTGGTTGTATTTAAATCCCAGTGATCAAGATGAAATGTACGGACAATCGGTTTAATAGTAATGGGTTATTACTTATTAGTGACATGTAATTGTTAGAAGTATGTAAAAAATACTTTATACTTCATATAATGATATTTTGATAAATTTTACTTATTACTCAAATGATATTACGGTTTAACATGACCATATAAATAATAATTAGAAGTAAAATATTTAGTCCAAAAAATTAAAAATTAAAAATAAATTAAAATTTTTGACGATCAATTCGCTTTAATTTATAGTGTAGTGTAAGAGCATGATGCATCCACAGTCAAATTTGGTAGGTGGGCTGTTAAGCCCATTGGTCCTAGATCAAACATATACTTTGTGCTAATCACAAAACTAGAATAAAAAGGCATATCATCAACTAAGAATAATAACAATTATAGTAGACTATATTTTTCATCCTATGGTATGCTAAATGTTATGGAATTAATCATAACTAGAGGAAGTAGAGGTTTTCAGTTGTAAGGTAAGTCGACAATGAGCTACAAGGAAAACGAAAATACTTTACTACATGTCAAAGTAGTACATTGATATTAATGGTAGGAAAGTACTTTGACATGTTCTTTAATTTACTTTTAGATAGGCGGATTGAAAAACATGTATGTATATAAAACATAGAGAGTACAAAACATGTTATTTATTTAGACGAGTTTCATAGAGTGGTTGAGGGGCGTGTAGAAATTATTATTTTCTCTTTGACGTGGGGTTATTTATTTATTTATTTATTTGTTTATTTATTTGTTTATTTAATAAATGTTTAGTTTCATTATGAATAGTTGTTAAAGGGTGTACTTGAGTGTAATTGAATTTATTGGTCCTGAGTTTAAGTTTAATGGTGTTATGCATTATTTGTGATTGATTTGACGATATAGATGTTTTAATACTGCAGAGGAGGTTGTTGTATATGGTCATAAAAGCATCGTTTATTGGAGTTTTGGGTAAAGCATTGCAAGAAGGTTTTATAAATTAATTATGAGTTAATGTTTATAAGTTAAATATAGGAAAA